AACAAGAAATACAAAAAGAGAGAGAAATAAAAACATAAAAAAATTAAAAAAAAGAAATTATCATCAATATTTATATATTTCTATATGTTCGATAAAATGCTATTATCTTTGCTTTAATTAATAATATTCATAAAATTTAATTGTATTTTTCAGAATCTATTATTTTTTTTAAAAAAAATTAAAATTAATTTAATATAAATTCTTTCATTTTAAGAAAAATTATAATATTTTTTCCTATGATTTATATTCATATATATATACATTATTTATTTGGTCCAATTTTAAATTATCAACCATATTTAAGAATAATAACGAAGCAAAGTAACTCAAAAATAAGATAAAGTAACTACATATCAAAATTTCAGACTAAATCGTAAAGATTAATGAAACAAATTATGAAAATTTGCCGAATCAATCAATTAATGTGGAAATTGCAGATGAGAGCGGTGCTTTTATAATTTCATATTAATTAGACTCCCATTCCGAACATAATTTCATCGCGATCGGAACAGGCAACTCTATTTCAAACCAAAGCTTTACATAAGAACATAACAAATAAATATCATCATTATTACTAATGAATATCTATACCCAATTTAGGTAGTTCAAATCATAAGAAAATATTTTATTTTAAATCAAGCAGATTTCTATATTAAGAAGCATATCATTCATTTATCAATGACGAAAATCTTTTGCCTGCTGGTGGCACGCCTTAGACGATAGCATATTTGGAGCAGTTCCATTGATTCCATCTAATGACTATCGCAAGAATCGGCATGTTGTGTGCGAAAGTTTGGGCATTCTGGTTCCAGGTTGAATGTCAGGTTCAGGCTGTTGTGGCTTCACCCACTCTGATGCTCATGAAGATCCTCAATTCAGCGCGCCCGGCTCCATTCTATGCGCAGGGCTTTGACCAGATGTAGTGAAGCCTTCTGTGCCGAGCGTGTGCGACCCCACAGTTCCACACATCTACCAGGAGGTGATCATACCGGTTTGGGGCGAATTGGGCGTGGCTTCAATCGTTTGGAGCGTTGGACCCATAAACCCTAGAGGTAATAGAATTTGTTTGTGCGATTTGGCACATGCCTAGTTCGCCAGCGAGTCGGCGCCCTGGAGCTAGCGAGGTTGGGGAACCGGGAACCAACCCAATGTGTTTAGGGTCTAGGGGGGTCAGGATCTTAGGGGCTGGGCTTAAACGTGCTCATGCGCCCGAGCTAAATGGCTGCGCAAAGACATCAGGCAAGAAATCCAATCGATGAGCAAGGGCAAAACTCCAAAATCGATGCTCCGCTCTCTTGCTGAAGCGGAAACTGCTTTGCGGACTTTTCCTGCCATGGTCCAGAAGCACTTATTTAAGGCCCGTATAATGGTCCAGAAGCACTTACCCTAAACCCTAAACCCTATTAATTCGCACGCGAAGCCGAACCGAGTCCCGAGGTGTCCAGGAAGCTTTGTTCCACTCCTCAGAGGACCCAATACCCCTTAATTAAGGAATGTACCTTAAATCATAATTATTAAGGCCCCTATAAATTTAAGGTATATTCCTTAATTAAGGAATGTACCTTAAATCATAATGTTAAGGCCCCTATAAATTTAAGGTATATATTCCTTAATTAAGGGGCATTGGGTTCTGTGGGTCCTCCGCCTCAGACAGGCGGTGGTCGCGGAGGATCTTCCTTACCGCTGCAACAGCCCAAAGCAGACCGACGTGAAGGTCAGGGGTTTGGGGTTTTGGCGTGTAGCCCTAAACCCTAAACCCAAAACCCAAAACCCTAAACCCTAAAGGGCTTTAGGGGTTTAGGGTTTGGGGGAAATCAGGGAATGGAGGTCAGAAGAATGAAGCCGACACTCGACAAAACCTGACATGCACCAGGGAAACCCCAGTAAGCATGAACCCTAAATCCCAATCCGCAGATAGAAACCCCACTGTAAAGGGGTTGAGGGTTTAAAGTTTCGGGAGGTGTCTCAAGCCAACCTCATTGCAAGCTCTCAGCTTACCGTACTCCAGTCTGGAGGCTTGCGCAAAAGGGCTCTACCACCCTCGCCTCCCGTGCTGAATCGGGAACCAAACTGAACTGGAATCTTGACATCGGAAACCTGGAAGCTGATGGCCAATTGCCAGATGTCATGTTTACGAACCCTGAACCCTAAATCCTAAACCCTAAACCCTTACGGCCCGGGACCGGGAAGCCGAACCACGTCCCCGAAACATCGGAGAAGCCTTCAACTTGCCTTCAACAGGATCCTTGCAAAACGGCTCACCGATCGTGCCGTGACCCAACCGGTAATGAACCTCAGGACTTCTTTCAACCTCGCGTGCGAAGGTTCAGGGGGGTTTAGGATTTAGGGTTTAGGGTTTAGGGTTTAGGGCTAAGGTTTAGGGTTTGGGGTTTAGGGCTCAGGGGGGTTTAGGATTTACGGTTTAGGCTTCGGAAGGGAACCGGTCAGAGGACTGGAGGCAACCGCATTGCCTATTCGAAGGCCACTTTAAAGGGCAGACGGACTGCTGTCTCCCCTCCCAAAACAATCTGAATCCGGCCTTGGCCAAAAGACCGCAATTCCACACAGACACTTTGCACCTACTCACGGCTCGGGATGTCCTAAGTTTCAGGGTTCGTGTCTTGCAAACGCCTCGTGGATGCGGGTCTGGAGCTTATGTGAGGGCTGCTCTTCACCGTGCCTCAACCCTAAACCCTAAACCCCTAAACCCGAAGCCCTAAACCGTGCCTCGACCGTGACTGGTCAACCGGGACAGCCCTGTGGGCCGCTCGCAGCCCAAGCGCGACAGAAAAAAACCCTGAGAACATGAAGGACCCCCAAGCAAACCCAAGCCGGGATGTCGGGAGAGCGTTTCCCATAGGCTCCATAGTAGTTCCTTTTTGGGATTACCTTATAGGCTTATAGGATCCTAAATACAAACCACAAAAAGGAACTACTATGGAGCCTAGGGGTATGTTTGTGGCCCCATCACGCCAGAGCACGTAGAAGCCCAAGTCTGCCAAGTCTCCTCCCAGCTGTATGGTCGGAGATCACACGACCGACCACACCAAACTTATGTCGGTGGTGACGGTGAAGTTGAGTCCTCTGCAGAACTCAAGACTCGAACGGCCGTGTGCAAAGGAACCGACCCGCCCCCTGACTTCAAATACACAAACCCTACCTGTAACCGAAAACACCTACGGTTTGAGGAAGGATATAGAGAAACCATAATAAGGAACCTGAAAAAGGTAGGTCTTTCCGGCTACAGATAAACCCTAAGCCCGAAACCCCAAGACCACCAACTCTCAACTGGCGATTCCAAATGGCCACACTTCCTCGGACAGAACCACACCTAAGTACTTCGTGATCCTGCAAAACAGTGTCCTGTTGTCGCTGGTTGTTGGGAAAGCCAATCCAGGATGCGTTGATTGTAGCCTGCTTGCTCCTCCTTGTAAAACCGACCTCAGATCATTGACAAGGATTCCCGTCTTGCGGACTTATGGGCTTGTTCCCAGCTTCCGCAACGGAGCAGGATCGGTCGCAGGTGGAATCACAAGAGCCCCACGATAGGAAAGCGAAGTGCCTGCATGTTATGGGAAGTCACTGGCAAGATGCCTCAACTCCAGGTCCGGTGCATACTTCACTGTGCAACAGCTTCTGAGCCGGGCGCTGCTACAAAAGCTGTGCGCTTGAGTTAACCAACAAGCACCAATCAGTGCTCAGTAGCAGCTACAAAACCACCGAACAGTAGGTAGTGAGGAGCAGCCAATGACCAAGCACATCAATCGTTGCATCAAGAAGCAACAGCCTCAAAGTATCAAGTGCTGACATGCCTATCTGAAACTTCCAGGAAAGGAGCGCTGATATTGTTGGAACTCTACAACGAGGGCGTTCACCGTCGTCGCATTGTCCTCGGATTCCGCGGCGAAAAAGGGTATGCTGAGATCCTAAAATCGCTCCCAATGCTTCCAGGAGTCGCGAGGAAACTGGTCCCTGAACAGCAGCTCACTTACAAAGGCCATCTCCTCAGATAGGATCCATTCATGCCATAGAGCACCGGATCAACATCGCAGCGCAGGCACCTGCGTGTCGCCCGAGGCAAAGGGTTGACCTCGTGTGTCCTCATCGAGCAAAGGCTACAAGGAGCAGGGAGCATGCGCCGCGCCTGGTCTTTGCGATTACAAAATGGGGGTTTCCGAAAATAGGGGACCCTAATAAAATATAGTATCCTAAACAGTAGGGACCCCAAATAAGGTACCCTAATTTTCGGAAAGTCCCAAATGCCCCTTTCCTTCCGAGGTACCGGGTCCGAGCTGTTAGCGATGAGGCTGATCCACCCCGATATATTGCCCACGACCGCATCGAAGATCTGCGGGCACAGGGCTATGGCAAATGAATTCCAGAGAAATACACGCATCCGAAGACCTCGGTGTCTCTGCCAAAGTCAACACATCAGGTCGGAAGATCGTCGCAAAGCTGTGTCTTCTGCCTTGTGTGATAGCCCTAGCGCCGTCCACTCATACCTAGGCCTCGTCGAGGTACGGCTGGGCACAATGAAGCCGCTGCTTCAGTCTAGAAAGTATCAGCAGTCCTTGCACCCTGGGAGCGATCTTGACTGCGGTCTGCGTCTACTCTCTTCTTCAACAACCAGGCGCAGAAAAGTTCAAACTTTTTAGGATAGACATAATATATAAGGCCAAAAAGTTTAAAGTTCTCCCATTGGCTATCTAAGTCTAATCGGAACTGCTGGATTTACCGTGAATGTCTCCGGAAGCATGGAACAGTCGCCAACATTATTTGAAACCACTTTGCGGCAGAGTGCACATGTAAAAATATAATACTCTCGCAAATCCCAAATGAAGTCGTTGTCGATCTGATTGCAGGCTTCTTGGTGACGCACAAGTATTAGCACGTGCTCCAATTTTGTGGTCTCACCATCCAGCGTAAGTATTCAGGAATGAAGCAGAATAAGTGTCTAGCTGCATGCACTAGCAAGCAAAGTCAGGCATCGGTCTCAATTCGAAAAGCAATTCTGCATCATGGTGCATTCTGCATGGCTCTTTCACAATTCCAACATGGAGCGTTGCTATAATTGATCACGTGACGACTTCCGGAACCCTCACCACAGCCCTCACGTCTCGCATCGGAAAACCACCCGGGTCGGACTTGCTGTTCGCCGCCCTCGAATAAGCGCACACTGATCCAGAGCAACCCACGACAAAATGTGAAAGCACGGCGTGGGCACGGATCCTAAACTCCTAGACCCTGAACAACTTCGCCCCAACACGTGAAATGCGGAGCGCAGGTAGAAGTACGGATGCAACTCGAAGCAAACATCAAGAGAAAACTATGTGATCCCCGAAAGCCTTGATCAAATCCGAGGCCCTGGCTGGCACAGTAGTTTCTTTTGGTTCTCCTCGGCAAAGGTACAGACTAAACAAGCCCCACAGGCGTTTGCAGTACGCAATTTGCGAGTGGTTCCTACTTGCAATCGCTTCAACTAGTTCCGTTTCTTACTGCTTCTCAGATGAAAGCTATGCATCAGAGAGTCAAATCCTCCACATCTTGATATGTTTGTCAGAAGTATATGGAAGAAGGGTACTACCAGTGGAAGAGAAGGAAGAGGATAACAAGCAATACGAACAAGGCGGAGCATCAAACGGCAGAAAGATGTAAAACAATTACTGAAGAAAGGATACAGAAAGAAATCGACTCGGCCCCCGGCCGAAAGGCATTCAGATCCTCCGTAAAAACCTGTTCTCCAACCCGTCTATCTCTACTTGCTTCTCAAGATGCCAAGCGCCACCACCCCCACTACCACCTCCTCGTGTTGCTGTTGCTGCTGCTACTGCTACTGCTATTGCTAACTAGTAGGCTGCGGGCGCACAGGGCGCCCTGTGAAATCATGCGTTTTCGAGGGTTTCAGCTGAGGAATGGGGGGGGAGGGGGGGTGGGACCCGCGGGTGGGAAGGGGGGGGAGGGGGGTGTGGGCTTGATAGCGTCCGGGCGTCGCAGCTTCACGTCCCGAGTGTTTCTCACAGTGATGGCGCTCTGCTGGCTGGCGCTGACCATTCTGCGGCTAGCGCCAGTGTCGTTGCTGAAGTGCTTTCATGCCAATCACGGCGAGAAGGTCTTTGCTGAGCATCTTCCGCGCAAACCTCGCGGATGTTCTAAGATTTCAGGGACTCAGTGCCTTGACTCGAAGTGGAAGCTCCTCAAAAGGTTCCTTCCACACACCTTGAGCAAGAAACTCTCACAGGTCTTGCTTAGGGAGTCCACGTTTCAGTGGGTGTGGCGGCACAACAATCGCGCACGCACGCCAGCTGACATGCTGCGCAGCTTGGCAAAGCTCTGTGGGTGACAAGACCTCCAGTTCTGGAAAACATGATGCGGAGCTTGATGACAATGACCATGATGACGGTCAACCTGATGATGATGATGATGATGATGATGCTTAAGGTGATAAAAATGCCAATGACGGTGCTACTGATGATGACAATGATGTTGATGCCGGTGCTAGAAATGTTGATGATGGATCTGATGATGATGATGATGTTAATGATGATGATAATGACACTGATGACGGTTGTCATGCGATGATGATGCTGATGATGCTGCTGGTGTTGATGACGCGAGTCTTAAAAATTGCAGTAGTTCCCGCAACTTCCTATAAACTTGTTTTTTGTAAAAATCGTACTGGCACCACAGTTTCGCGCAACTGTAAGGGGGCGCCTCATGCGCCCGTACCCTTATAGAAGTCTTTCAAAGAAGCAAGGATATTGGTTTAGGGTTATTGGGGTTTAGGGTTTGTAGAGACCGGACCCTTAAGAGCTCAAAGCCGGAGAACGCCGCAGTAGAAGGAAGCGGTAGTGGCACAGAGGCCCGGTATGTAGGGTTATAATACCCATGAACCTCCAAGTAGGACTAAACTTTTAAACCCTAACCTGCAACGGCCTGACCCGACCATTTCCTGAACGCGAAGCCCGGGTACTGTACCTCAAGGAAGCCTTTCTGGAACCCAGAAAGCCGTTGAAAACCCCACGGTACCTTAGGGCATCCTTCGAGGAACCCTTCCATTGGGAACCCTCGAAGTAATTCATCCAGAACCAGGTGCCTGTCGCAGAAAGGAGGGGCCTGTGACAGAGATCCTGACATAGGGAATCTTAGATAAAGCCTTAAACCCTAAACCCAAACCCCCAACCCTAGACCCTAAAACCCTCAATCCCAAACCCTAAAACACTTTCAACCCCGAAGTCTAATCCTGAAACTTCTCTGGTGGAGGTGGTGTCGTGGAGCTTCTCCCTGGTTGTTAGTAGGGAATGGGGGAATGGATCCCTATTCTAGTCCTTTAAGGTCTCCTATAGTAGTCCCAAAATCCCATTCCTCCTTGCCCTACGAAGAACCAACCCTCAACCCTAAATCCTAAAGCCCAAAACCCTACAGCCCTTTGTGCACAGGGCCAAACAGAAGGAAGCTCAGGGTTGCGAAGGATTCTTCTTCACTTAAAGTAGTTCACCTTTGCCGATTCTGACAAACCCCGGGCCACTGGCGACCAGAAGGTGGCAGCGGAGGAGCAGGAGGATGCGTGGCAGTGCCTGAACTTCGCCACCTGCGGGAACTATACCTCCAACCGCACCACGACACACCTGTGGTTGGTGGTGCGGCATGGAGAAGCGGAAGCAAAACAACTTCCAAAAGAAAAAAGCGGGGGAGGAGCTGCCATAGTCGTCCACTTCCTCTTCTTCCTTTCCGCCTCCTCGGCAGCGACCTCGGGCTCCTTCTCGGCATCCTCGCCATAGTCGTCCACTTCCTCTTCCTCCTCTTCCGCCTGCTCCGAGGCGACCTCGCGCTCCTTCTCGGCATCCCCTGGCTCCTCCACAACCTCGGGAGCCTTTTCCTTGTCATCCTTCTTCTTGTCGCCGATGACATTTTTTTTGGCCCGGTGCATCAGCTTCCTCCAACAGGACCGGGAAACGGGAAAGGTGAATGACGTTGGATGACGAGGAGGAAATCGAGGTTCCTGCTTCTGGTGCCCACGCGAAGGCGACCACGATGAAAGAGTTCTTCCCTTGCAGTGACGATGAGGCCTAAGCGGCGCCGCGTGTGATTCATTGGAAATCGAGGTTCCCGCCTGTGGTGCCCTGCGAAGGCGACCACGATGAAAGATCTCTTCCCTGCAAGTGCTGCAAGTGATGATGAAGCTGAGTCGAAGCCTAAGCGTCGCAGCCGCATGTGTTCCAAACCGTCAATGGCTCTAGACATTGCTTTATCAAGATAGAAGAGTTTGATTATTTGTATGAGTAGGGAGCAGTGTATCTGCTGATCATCCGGCGCGAGAAGAGGGGTGCGGTTCCGACAACAAACGCGTGTCTATGCTTCTAGACTCCTTCCCCTTTCTCACTTCCGAGGCTACTACATCATTTCAATGCTTCACCACTTTTAATCCCGCCCGTCAGCATTGGGCTCTCAGCTCGCTTACTCGTTTCCCCCTCTCCTATTGGACGTCATGCCAAGGGTGCTTTGAAGGATCGCTTTAGGACACCCAGTGGCTTTGACGGATAGGTGTCGCTTTACATTCGATAAGCATGTCGGTGCGTGTATTTTGTGGAGATGGAGCTGCATGCAAGGGAATTCAGCAAGCATAGGGGCCAGTCAGTCGAGAGCGGGATGCATGCAGCTGATGAGTCGTGTAGAGACGTGCATGTTAGAGAAGGGTAGTCACTGAGCCACGGAGTTCGAGGGCGCCGTTGGTGCCTTGTTAACGCTTTGGTGTGGTGATACGTGCCATGCCTGAGTCAATGAACTCTTGCCACGACCAGTGAACCCTCGCCTAGGCAAGTCCGACTGTGAGTGCTGAAAGCCCTCAATTCCTAAAATCTAGGCCACAGCTTTCTTCTTGAATCCCGGCAGTCAGGCTTCGGATCGGCTCCTAGGGCGCGCAGGGCTCAGGGAGACCCAACGCTCGAAACCTGGCGGACGGAAAAGAGCAGCTCCAAGCAACGAATAAACCTAGACCCCAGAACCTTAAACTTTAAACGCCTAAACTCTTAACCCTAAACCCCTAAACCCCTAAACTCTTAAACCCCTAACCCCTAACCCCTAACCTTAAACCCCTAAACTCTTAAAAACCAAGGCCCTAGAGCTGCCTGCTTGCCAGGCAACACTGGAGGAGGCACGGGAGAAGTCGGCGATGCTGGCAGAAACTCGTGCTGAAGAAACTTCTAGAGTTCAGGGCTTATAGGGTTTAGGGTTGAGTTCGGGGCTTTAGGGGCGGCAGTTTGAGCAGGACTGGGTGCAAACGGGTTTCAGGGTCGGCTGAGGGTTTGGGGACAGGCTTAGCTTAGGATTCAGGGTCTTGGGCTTAAGTTAAGGGTTCTATCAGGACATCAGATCATGTTTGCTTCTCTGCTGTGAAGA